CCGGTCTCTGCCGAAGCTCATCCGCGTCTCTGGTCTCTCACGGTTCTCATCCAGGTCTCTGGTCTCTCCCGAAGCTCATCCGGGTCTTTGGTCTCTCCTGGATCTCATCTGGGTCTCTGGTCTCTCCCGAAGCTCATCCGCGTCTCTGGTCTCTAACAGTTCTCATCCGGTCTCTGGTCTCTCCCATATCTCATAGGGGTCTCTGGTCTCGCCCGGTTCTCAGCCGGGTCTCTGGTCTCTCCCGGATGTCATCCAGGTCTCTGGTCTCTCCCGGTTCTCATCCGGGTCTCTGGTCTCTTTCGGGGAATCGCTGCGGTTCTCTGAGGACGAGGAATGGCTTATCTCAGGGCAGATAGTTGGATATCAATGATTTCTTCCATATCGTTTCCTCATCAGGCACTTTGAATCACAGTATAATACTGTGAATGAAAGACGAATGGGTTCGAGTCCCGGCCCGGGGTCTTTCTGCAGGGAGTTTGCATGTTCTCCCTGAGCATGCGTGTGTTCTCTCTGGGTACTCTGGCTTCCTCCCACAGCCCCCAAAAAATAACTGTTAGGTTAACTGGCTTGTTCAAAGGGTTAGGTTAGGGTAAATGAGGGTGGGTGGTTGTGTGTCTCTGTGTTGACAGAATGGCGACCTGTCCAGAGTGACCCCGCTTCTCACCCGTATACTGCACCAGCCCCACCGATGAAGCAGGAGAAGATGGGTTGGATGATGAATGGGTTATGTTCACAAGGGGGTGAATATTTTTTAATCTCATTTCTCATTTGAAAACAGATTAATGTTTATTCTTCAGTTAACTAACATTTCCTTTATGCCTAAAATTAGAGCAGAAATACACTAGATAATATTATACTTTAATAGAGGGGCTTATCTGCTATGTATAGATCTATGTTAACCTGATGTGATTCAACAGAATATTTCAACTTTTTGTTTCTTTTCTTTTTTGGTTCTGGCAGGATCAGGAGTGATCTAATGGATGTGAACGTCGAATAGCTGTGGTTGCAGATCTGGATATATGGACCGGAAACATCCCAGCCAGACAGGATGGTGGCCATTAGGCGGAACATCTAGATTAGATTACCCTGAAAATGAGGCTCAGTTCTAAACTTCATAATCTCTGCTTTATGGTTCCTTTCCACTGCAGCTTTTTTTTTTCTCTATTGTGACCATTTCTGGTTGGATTATTAGATTCCCCTAGCAGGAGGCAGGAATACATCACAAGGCGGATAGATGGAGTCAGTATTTGTTTAGATGTGTAACTATTTAAACAATTAAAGTTGCAGTAGGGGATCTTTTCTGATGCATTTTTTACTATGCGGCTTGAAGATCTCCCCATAGCCGTGTAAAAAGCAGTAAAATAGAAGGCCTTGAAGTGAAACAAAAATAAATGGTCCCTGCTACAGTGAAAATCAATGAGTAATGTCTACCAATCACAAAACAAGGTCTATTGTACACGACTGGTTCCTGACACGTCAATCATGGTCGTCTGCTTGTCCTCCCCCCGTGCGCGTACCCTGACACATGATCAAATCGACCCCCAATGCTCGTGCAGGACTCAATGGCTGGAAGCTAGCCACTGTTATGCTACGTTCACACTTAAAGCAGCAAGAGCAGCAAAAACCTGCATGCTGCTTAATTTTTGATTCTTGTACAAGTTTAGTTCTGATGCTCGACTGAAGCATCTTTGTTGCTCTGGCTGCGTGTTGGAAAAGTGGTTCTGATGTAATGATATTTCTGTTTTTGATGCAATGTGAACGTTCACTTTGGGATGATATTTATTGTGTTTAGAAGGTCCAAAGTTATTTATTTGCTTATTATAAAGCTAATTTACTGTAGTTGAGGAAGACAGCTCCTACAGCTCCTCTATGGTTCAGCCTTGGTTTGTTTTCTTCTGTGAAGAAGCAGCCGTTCTGTCACAGTGGGGTAGTTTGTCCTTTGAGTTGTTCCCCTGCACCAGCGCTCCCTTTAGCCCCATTTTGCCCGTTTAGCTTGACGCGGCTCCATTTTTACACCCAGGAAACCGGAAGCATCTTTAACGAAACGTTATCTCTACAGGTAAAGGCAGCTGGCTGGGCTCTTTGGGTTCTGCCAAGGCTGTCTTTGACTCCCAAGTTAATTTCCATCCTTTCTCCAGAATTTTGTGTTAGAAACACAAGATAGAGACCAGAAAAACAGAACACTTCCTCTTTTCCATCTCAATTATCTGTCTGTTTATTGATTGATTTACTGATCGATAATATTTTTATAGCAAGAAAAACAAACTGGTAAAAAGAAAATGACATAAGAACACTTTGATCAGGCTTCTCTCCAAGGCTTCTTCTTTTCTGAGTGGCATTTCTCCTCACTAAAGGACACTTTTCACACATTTTAAGCCAAACCATGTTATGGTAACTAGATGGACATGATGCCTTTAAACATCTGGACATCAGAGCAGAGGAACAGCCTTCAACTTTATTAGACTTATACATTTATAGTCATTTTCAGTGAATACTGAATAAAGTTTAGTTTAGTACGGCTCTCATGACATTTCCATTCATTAAAGTGCAGTAGTGATCAAATGTAAACATTTGCCGTAAACATTCTGAGTTACAGAATTGTTATATTTTGCTTGCTTTCTTAATGACAGCAGCATTTTGGATGAGTTGCCTTCAAAGACTTCCTCTGGTAATCATCCATCTAAACTTCACCTCAGAAGCTTTCAGCGCCATGCTATCATTGCTCTCAATGCTATCATAGCTATCCATGCTATAATTGCTATCCATAGTACTATTAGACATCATTTCCAGAATTTCTATAATGGAAAACTGTCTGAGTTTATAGAAACCTCTGATTGAAGGAAGTCATAAAAACCATAAAACCCATCAAACCAAATCTACAAAGGACTTTCTCTCAGTCTCTCTCCCATTCCTCTGACATCAAGCAGAGAGGGATTTGATTCATCCTTACTTACCTCAGATAGAAAGACTTGAATTTAAATAGTTTAAATAATTCCCTAAATCTGGACCTTCTTAATTCTAAACAGGGTTGATGATTATTTTCTTTCTTTGTTTATGGCTAACTATCAGCCTAAAACTAAAATCTTTCTTAAAACTGCACTGAGGACTAATCCAATATACATTTTCCCTCACATTTCCAAACCAAGATCAGAGCTTTACAGAAAGCTTGGATCAGTCTGTGCAGCAGTGGTGATCTGCAGACTGTCCTGCATTTTAGCTCTGGTCCTGAGGGGCCCATGTCCTGCATCCCTGAAGCCCAGATGAATCAGCTGGCTGATCGACGGGTTTCTAGAGTCATTGATGAGCAGCAGGTAATAAAATCCAGAGGACCACTGGTTCAGATCAAAGCATGATGATGTGTCACAACAACTAAAGAGAACAAATATCCTTTTTCTGAATTCTAAATCTGGTTTACATCCATCTATTGTTTCCTGCTTATTGAAAGCTCAAAGTCTGTGAGATGCTTTCAGAGTGGAATGATGGAAATTAAATAAAATGAAACTCTGACGTGCTATAGAATTGCATTAGTTGATATGGTAATAATGTTTTACTGCCACCTAGTGGTGCCATGATGATGTTGCAGGTTAATTGTAAAAATATATATTTTAAAAGATCAGATTAGTTGGAATGAATTAATGTGTTATTTAAATTAGATGAAAGCGGATCTGCATCGGATAATCTCATAGCTCTAGTATCAATCCTTCAGCTCCTTAAATCATTATTAAGGTAAACGATAAAACATTCCAGTTTTCCAGGCTGAAGGCACTCAGCTCCTTAAGAGCTGTGGCCCCTGAGATACGTAGGTCCCTTAGGGACCACAGTCTCTCCTTAGCTCTCTACTATGCAGATATTTTTATATCTATGGTAAATATATTAAAGGATATTACAAGTTTTTTATTCTTTTTTGTACTATATAGTTTCAGAAACTGCATTCTTTAAAGTTATGTTGTACAAATGACATGCTATTTAATGCTTTCCTCTGGAGGAAGGAGTGAAGATGAATTCCGTCAGCTGGGCCCATAAACACAATTTAAAAATATACAACTCATAAAACTCTATCTCTAACATATAATAATAAAAAATCTGTACAAAAAAATGTACAAAAAATATTTGATTCTCCATGGATCCCCATGTCTGTGGATCCTCTTCATGGATCTCCATGTCTGTCTGTTAATCCTCTCCTCAGGATCTCTGTGTCTTTGTGTGGATCCTCTCCATGGATCTCCATGTCTGTGGATCCTCTATGTGGATCTCAATGTCTGTGGATCCTCTCCAAGTATCTCCATGTCTGTCTGTGGATCCTCTCCTCAGGTTCTCCATGTCTGTGGATCCTCTCCATGGATCTCCATGTCTGTGGTTCCTCTTAGTGGATCTCCATGTCTGTGGATCCTCTTAGTGGATCTCCATGTCTGTGG